ATCGCAACTCATGCAAAAGACTTGAAATTAACAAAAATTTTGTTGTCGATCTTTGTTTTGAATAGCAGGAAGTAATAAATATAAAAGCGACTCTCAACAAACTAGATTTTGATGTTTTCTGCAGACATGGGTCATAAAATGTCCGAAAGAGAAAGAATCCTTAATTAAGTCGATTGGGTTAAGATCTAGGTCAAGGTTTTTTTCCCTACAAATTTTTAGACAATTTTTGTTCAAATATCTTCCGAGCTGAAATGTTTCTTTAACAATTAGTCTGCCAGGCAGTCGGAACAAACAGTTTCATATATATAAAGTACTTTAAAGGGAAGCAAGTAAGAGGTTCTAGTCGGGAGCTCCCGACTAGGGGATACTCTGAACCCTGAAATGAAAGATACTTGATATATATATACTATTCTAGAAGCTACACGTCAAGTGTGGTGACTCTAGCTCATATTATTTACCAAAATTGATCAAAAAACAGGATTTCGATATTGATTTTTATCGATTACTTGCAAACGGGGCAAGTTATCGAATATCGGAAACAAACTCGATCTGCGCGAGCACTAGGAGGACCTACAGCTAAAATTTCAAGTCTCTAGCTCTTATAGGTTCTGAGATCCTTGCGTTCATACATACGGACAGACGGACGGACGGACAGACGAACTGCAGACGGACATGGCTAGATCGGCTCGGCTGTTGATGCTGATCAAGAATATATATACTTTCTTTCGTCATTTCGGGGGCTCTTACCTAGTTCATCAAATATGCTGTTGAGCAATAAAATTTGTTGGATTGAAAGTTTTAAATATTTTGCGTTCAGCTCTATTTCAAACCGAGTTCCATTTGATGGCACTTGGCACAGCTTGAGTTCCTGTGCGGCACACAAATACTCAATGATCTATGAAGAGTAGATTGTTATTAAATCGTATTGTTATTATATCATGATGTCATATGGCACATTCTCGGCTTCATTCATGGTTAGTCTATTATGTAGACCTTCAACTGCAGTATTGACTCATTCGCTTCCTGGCCAAGAGCCCAACATGACTCAACGCGAATTGTGAATACGAAATGAATATGAATGAATGTATTTTATTCACCGTGTGCTCTCCTCCAACTATGGCAGCAAAGCAATCCATCAATTTGAGCGTTTTGCTAACGAAAACAAAAGCAGCAAAAAATCGCAACAAACGTCACAAAGGCCAACAACAAAATATATATAATATTAGCAAAAAAAATAATCTCAGAAAATGGGCTAAGATTAGTGGGGAATTTTTTCGTCATTAAGTTCCGGACATGTGACTGCAGATTTTTGCCAAAACAAAAGCTAAATTTGGCAATACCCATGAGACTTATAGTATTTAGCATACTCTTTAAGTCTGCTGACGCCACGAATTCGCAATACGATAGCCAACTTGGAAGAGCATTTAGTTGTGGGTATTTATATGAATGTATCTCTAAATATATGTCTGTGGTCATCTTATGTGTTCAAAATGCACGCCAAGGCGCGGTTTTGGGAGATTCCGCCCGCAAGTGTGGAGAAATCACAAGCGAACTTTAATATGAAATATTTTTGTTTACAATCCGATCGACCACAAACTAATTTCTCTCTGTTCGAATTCATTTTAGAGTTGTTTCACACTTTTCGGAAAATCCATTTCAACTTGGTGGAAATGGGCGTCAATAATTTGGTGGGTTTTATTTCCAAGATCTTAGTGAAAATTCTGCTTTCTCTCTATAAAAAGACTTAATGAAGATTGGTTTCAGACATTCCACCCGCAATCGCTTGTTTATATATATATATATATACTAGCGGGTATAGCCCGGCTTTGCCCGTGGCACGCTTAAAATGAATTCTTTCTAAGATCTTTGAAATTGATTTAGAAACCGATCGGATGGTAAACAAAAAACTTTCATACAACTGTTTTTCGCCAATTTACCACTGTTGCAGATATATATATATATATATAGAGACATATATGTATAGTAAATATTTTAAAATTGCTTTGAAATCGTTCAAAAATCGTTAAATCAAAAAGTGAAAGCAAATTCTTATTTCTATCTATAATATAGCGCTAATCGAATTTGAAATCTGTCATTTCCGCGTGCTTTTCACAGCTGCTGGTGGAATTGGTCAAAAGCACGCAGCGTGCACTTACATCACAGTCAATCAGTCAATCTCAGTCAGTCATTAATGTATATTGGTCATATTATATACGTACATATTATGCATTGGCCCAAATGGATGAAAAATTAAAAGTTGAAAATATCATTTAGCGGATAATAATACAACAGACCCTCTTAAAGGGTCCCACACTGGGAAACAAGTGCGAAAATGAATGAATTATGGCTTTTACGCTTCTGCCACTTTCCCCTGCTCCCCCGTCCACCGTCATTCGCGCCATCCCCTTGTCTTGGGCTTTGGGGCTCTGGCTGTTGCGAAATCGTATGAATATTTTGCTCACGCGCTGCCAACAATCACTCATTTTGTTGAGGCGACAACGCCAACATGCCCACCTCCCCCTCCCCCTCCACCCGTCCGTCAGGCTGGCCGACACCCCACCCAATACAGCAAAGAAGTCACGTTTGTTGCCCCACCAAGCAGCCCCCGTCTGCAGCACAAAAAACCTCGCATACAAAGTCAATTAGTTGTGATGCCCCGGCGAAGGCTTCTGTTGTTCTTGTTAACGTTTTTGTCGTTGTTCTTCTTGTTGTTGTTGAGATTTAGGCCAACAATGACGCACATCAGCTAGCAGCATTGGACTGTTTTTTATGATGTTGCCCCCACTGCTGCCACACGCTGCCACGCCCTCCTAGCCACACGCCCCGCATCCTAGCCACGCACTCAGACACTGTCGCGAATATAATTTTTGTGTTTTCGAAAAAAAATTGGCGAATATAAGAACGTCAAACGGCGAACCTCAAACGCATTGTGCCTAAGTGTTTTTTATGGAGTATCAAATGAAATTACCCGGCGTTGCGCAGGTCAAATGAAGGATGTAGCATAGGCGAGTTGTATCTCAATTCGATGTGTAATTTCGTCTATGAATTCGTCCAAAAAAACTTGTCTTCTACGTATTAATAAAGTTTGTGTGCTATTACCATTAAAATGAACATATATTTAATATATTATATTTCAAATATTTAAATGCTGCGGCAATCCAAAGTCTAAATTTCATATTATATTTGTTGTTGTTGTTGTTTTTGCAGCCGCTCAAAAGACGTCAACATATTTTTAGATGGCGCCGGAAATGCGAAAGCCTTTTGAATGATTTCTTTTTTTTCTTTAATTTTCCTTTTTATTTTTGCTTGTGTGCCTGTTGTATATTTGGCCTTCTCGTGGACAAGAACATGGCAAGAGCAGCGCATAGCGAGGGGCCTAGGGGCGGGCTGAGGGGGTGGGGGGGGGGAGGCGTGGCTGGGACTGTGATTGGTTTGTGTACCTTGTATTTTTAGCTAATCACGCGGATAAGCCGTACACAAACTTTCTAGCGCATTTATGAGCCAAAATATTAAACGCATATAAATAACATTCGAAATTCTAAAAAGTCAAGACTGTGAGATACCCTGTAGAAACAGGCCAAGCAATAAAATATAAGTTTTCTATATAAATAGAAATAATATTAGACTCTTCTCACAACTTTTCATTTAAGTTACACTTAAATTTAAGTAAAAATAAATAAATATTATTATCAATTCCTTTTTTTAAAATTATGCTCTGCTGTCTGTTGCATGCGTACTAAGACTGTGAGATACCCTGTAGGAACAAGCCAGGCAATTAAATGCAAGTATTTTCCATTTAAGCACAAATATATTTTTAATTTTTACTTCTCCCAAATTCCCAATTAAATTTATTTTGAATAAAAATAAATAAATACTATAATTAATTTATATGCTCAGCTGTTTTTTGCCATACATAATACAAATAACATGCTTAGACTGTGAAATACCCTGTAAAAACAAGTTCAACAATAAAATACACGCCGCTTTCTTTTTAAGCAGCAATGAATTAAAGCTCTTAATTTGAACAAATTTAAATAAAAATAAATATTTATTATTCTTAATTAATTTGCAATAAATGTGCTCTGCTGTCTGTTGCATGCGGAACGCAATTAACATACTGATAGCTACAGGGTATGCTCGTAAAAATCAATTTAACGTTTGGGTTAAACTTTCTGAAATCTTCTCAAATTTAATGTGCGGCAAAGTAAACAAGCGATACTTATGTACTACCCCAATTGGTTCATAATCTAGGCAACACTCGTAAAACTTGACGTGCGTGTGTGAGTGTGTGTGTGTGTGTGTGTGTGTGCGTGTGTGTTCGTGTGTGTATGGATTAAGTGAATGATTATTATTAGAATGCTCATTAGAAGTGCTTGGGCTTAGCTGCGATTTGCACAGAAATGTGTTTAAAATAAATATACATTTTTAAATATTTGTAAATGAATTGAAATTTAGTTTTGGGCTTTAGAAGGTCGACCACATAAATCAGCCGAGGACTTAGTTTAATGAGTTTGTCTTTAAATGAAGATTTCTTGCTTGTTTCAGTTTCATTTGAAAGCAAGAACTGTTTAAAATAAATGGAAATATTTATTTATTTTAAAATTATTCGCTTGAGTAGCGCGCTGGACTGCGCATTGGCAGGCTGAGCACGAGGTTTTCGGATCGAACCCCCGCGAAGTCAATTAAATTAATCGACATTTAGTTTGGGGCTTTTCAAAGGTAGAGTATTGTATGCCAATGTCAATCAACTAGGGCTTAGTTTGATGTGCTCTCTCTTTAAATGAATATTTGGGCATCGAGTGCCCGTAAAGTCGAAATTATATTTATAGATTAATTGAAATTAAGCTTGAGGCTATTAAAAGTAGAGTATTGTGAGTCAATGTAAATCAGGTAGAGGCTTGATATGCTGACTTGTAGTATTCAGTCTATAAAGAAATATTTGTGGATCGAGCTCCCATAAAGACAAATTAAATATTATATATATATTAATTGAAACTTACCTTGCGGCTTTGAAAGGTAGAGTATAAATAATCTGGAGGCTTAGTTTTATGTGTTGCCTGTTAGTTTTCTCTCTCCTTAAGTAAGATTTGTAAATCGAATCCCTGTAAAGACAAATTAAATTTAGAAATTAATCAAAATTTAGCTGGCAGTTTATAGTTACAGTATTGTGATTCGATGTAAATCAGCTAGGGGCTTAGTTTGCTGTGCTGTCTGCAGTTTTCTCTCTTTAAATGAAGATTTCAGAAATTACAGAAAATTGCCGCTTTAGAAACTCATCCTCAGACGGGTTGAACGTGAGTGGATAACCCAATGACAAGGGGCAGCTTTCTGGTCAACCCGAAAGGGCAAATGCTGCAATTGGAGCTTGTGGCCGGTCGATGGTCGATGACAACTTCATTTTGGCCATAGTCTGAGGTCCGTGCCGGCCATAAGTCACCCTTCAATAGATATGCCGCTCGTTCAGCACCAGAAAATGAACGTTTTTGGGGCCGAGTTAAGTGTTGACAGCGGCAACACAGGATGAGGCATGTGGCATGGGGGCATGCGGCATTGGAACTAAGCTGGGTACGTGCGTTGCGTTAAGTGAAAATACAAGAAAATTGAGGCACGCGACGAATTACAGCTGAAAATGTGAATGGGGCATGCAGCAGCCGGAGCAACAGCAAAGATGGGAACTTGGGATATGCGAACTTGGAGCTTGGAGCTGGGAATTAGGCGCCTGAGTGAGTGGCCAATGGGTATGTGAACTGATGAGTGTGCGTGTCTGTGTGTGTTCGTGTGTGTATTTGTCAAATGTGAGCAACTGTACGTTGAGAAGATTTATGTGGCAGCAGCAGCAGCAGCAGCAGCAGCTGGCAAATGGGCGGGGGCAGTGTGTGGCAAGGGCCAGGTTGCGGGCGAGGGTGAGGGTGAGGGTAAGCTGCTGCTGCGTGGCTTTTGTGTGTAGCTTCGCCCAAATGAGTGCAGAGCCAGGACCAGGACCAGGACTAGGAACAGGACGAGAACGACAATGGCAAATAAAAGATTTTTATTATCACATTATGCGGCAGCAGATTTTCCCCTTAGCTTCCCCTTTGTTGTTGTTCTTGTTGTAGTTGCTCTCGCCCTTGTCGGCTAGTTTACTTTGCCACCCCTCCCCTCTCTCTCGCTCTCTCCTCCTCTCTCTGTCGCATTTGGATTGAGGCCAAGTTGTTAAGTTGGTCGACTAGATTTTTGGGCCCTAAAAAGCAAAAGGCAGGTTGGCCAAATTCAATTTGCCAAATGAAATTTCTAGACACAGGTCCAAAGAGCGAACATTCACTTAAAACAGCCAAATGAGAACAACTGGCAACAACAACTTTATAGATACGCTGTAATAAATTGCCTAAAAATATAAAATAATTTATATTATTTAGATTAGAAACTTAACTTTAATTAATTAACTAAATTTGCGAAATTAAATTCAATCAAATATAATATTTTAATATTCTCCGCAGATATTTTAGTTTTTACATTTTCGACAAGAGCTCTTTTTAATTTTTATTTAATTATTTTCCACATTAATAGGACAATATTAATAAAATCAATTAATATTGTCAAAATCAGATATTCATCTTCAATTAATCAATGCATTCATTAATTGATTAAAATGTGTATTAAATAAAGTATATTCATATTCTCCGCAGAAATAGATTTAAGTTTTTACAGATCCTACAAGAAGGGACTTTCTTAATGTATATAATAATAATTAAAATTGTTATTAATTATTATTATTAATCATATTTTAATTAAATGTATTCACATATTGATATAATGAGTAATTTATTATTTATATTAAATTGCATTACACAATTATATAAAAAAATAATTAATTTTCTTTTTAATTTAATTACTTTCTTTATATTTTTTATATCGAGCCAGCAAAGTAAATATATTTTTAATGACTTTACCCATAAATATAATAATTAATTTAATTATTATATACATTAATATAATTATTAATTTAATTATTATATTTGGTTACTTTATACATTATACAAACAATTAAATAAATCTTTGTGTTTATTTACTTTACCTATTTATATAATACTTAATTAAAGCTCCCAAGTCTTTAATCGATTTGAAATATTTATTTGCGAACAACTGATTCACAGCATATTTGCTCACAAACTGAAAATAGCACCTTTAAATTAAAATGAGACATAGTTGGTGCTTTTCTATACCCTGTAAAAAGTGCATTAATTTTACTTTCATCACACAATTGATAGTTTTATGTGATTAATATGGAATCTTTTTCTGTCTAAATTCATGTTTAACTATTTGAATTATTTATGTATATTCAAATTTCGAATTCAAACTAGCCTCTATGCTGTGTGCACTTACAGGGTATAAATAGAACATTAACAACGACGTCAGCATTGCAGACATCGTGAGTTCCTCTTGGCTGCTCGTCTATTTTCGTCGGCTGACTCGACGGGAATTACTAATTTGGATGTTATGCTCCCGGATTTGTTGCTGCATAACATGCTAATTATACAAAAATAGATCACGTGAGCCCGACAGGCTGCCCAAGGCGTGGCTGGGGTGGGCGCCACAGGCGTTTTCCGTTTAGATGGGACTGAAGAGGGGGGAGTGTCAACTGTTGCATGTCGTCGCCTGCTTAGACGGGGGCTGGGCCCCAAACTTTAGCTCGCCTCGCCTCGCCTCGCCTCGTGTCGCATCAGTCAACCACGCAGCGCTACAAGATTGATGCGACGCCAACTGAAGATACAAAGTGAGGGCTTAGGGGGGCGGAGAGGGTGGGGGGGAGGATCTAACTGACAGACAGGAAGGGAGCAACAGCTGCCGGAACGATGCTATTTGGGTCAAACTTTGACGCAGGAGATGCACAACTGAAATGGCCAGTCGAGCGCGGTGCGAATCGCCATGGAGCAAAACTAATGCCCCAGACAGAGCGAGAGCGAGAGAGAAAGAGAGTGGGAGCAGGGATGGGGATGAAGATGGCGCAGGGGCTGCGACTGGGCAAGGAGCTGCTGCAGTCAGGGAGATTAATAAAATTTTGCGAGCAATTGCAAAAAATTAGCCATGGCCAATGATTGTTGATGTTGCAATCATTAATAATGTATATGGCCCGGGGGTTTGGGGCAGCTGCGGGGCAGTCGGTGTCGTCGTCGGGGTAGTTGGGTTTGGCCGACATGATTAATGTTTGGATTGTGTGAGTGGCATGCCTATAAGGCAAGGTAATCACGAGCAATGAGTGCTGGTTGTTATTCGACGGTATTTAGGCATGGCATTAGGAAACCGAATATCTAGATGTGAAATTCTAATTGCAAACTAAAGCTATACAAATTATTTATTGACAACTGACACACTGATTTATTAATGATTGACAAAATAAAAATCGCTGGTCTGAAGTTTACAATTTGATAAGAAGCTAGGAATATGAGGGCAAAACAAAGCGCAGCCAGTAAAACGTTTAAGGTGGAGAGTGAAAGGAGCGTAAAAACTCTGAATTACTGTTAAGAGTTTCTTAAGTAAGTTTAACATTGATTGTCCAATAAAAATATCTGAAATTGAATTTATAATTTGATAATAAGCTAGGAATTTGAGGGCAAAGAAAAGCGCAGCCAGTAAAACGTTTAAGGTGGAGAGTGAAGGGAACGTAAAAAATTTTAATTACTTTGGAGACTTTCTTAAGTACATTTAATTACAGCAATCGCAAAATGCTTTTAAGCAAAAACAAGATAATTAATGATGCGACAAAGTATTTACACGAAGCCGGTGAAACGTTTAAGGCTGCGAGCAAAAAGAGCCTCAATTAGAAGTGTAGAATTTTTGAAGTAATTTTAATTGCACAACACAATTGTTAATAATATTGCACTGCAAAAATGTGATAATTAATGATGTGACAAAGTATTTGCACAAAAATAGCAATGAACAATTTCAAGTGCTGTCAAAATGGGATTTTATGAAAAATAAATGAGTTAACAATTGCATATTAGGAGCATGTTTTAACTATGCCAGGCCCCTATATAGCCAGTCCGAGACACGCATGGGCTTAGATGCGTATGTTTATACAGATATATATATATATATCTGGGTGTATATATATATGTATTCGCAGCGAATACTCAATTATGATTTCAAGTTGAAGCCAAATGCATTTTTTATGCCAAATTGCAAAGTTGCATTTAATAAGCTTTATAAATTGTTTTTAGGCATTTTTGTTGTCTGACAACTTGACAGTCGGAGAGGCAAACCAAACCGGACAATCAGTTAGCAGCAGGAGGGGCGGGCGACGAGGGAGCGGGAGCGGGAGCGGGCAGTGGGGTTTGGGCCATAACAAACGCCCGCCCGTCAGCTGACAATCAAAATGAAAAAAAAAAATGTCAGACGGCGACATCCACAAGCCGAGTGGAACTGAGTCGAGTCGAGTGGATTGAATTGCCAGCCAAACTGCAACTGCAACTAAAACTAAAACTAACTGCAGCGTGTTGCAGCGTGCTGCGGTGTGCTGCAACGTGTTGCTGTCAGGTGGGGAGCTGCCGCTGCCGCTGCTGCCTCTGCCTCTGCCGCTGCTGCTGCTGCGGCTGTGTAATCCGTCATTTGTTCGCATTCCATTCAAGGCTGCCTGGCCAGATCCGCCTCAGTGGGTCTAAGTCAGCCAATCCAATGTCTCGCTGTCTCGCTCTAGCCATGATCTCACTCGCTCGCTCACTCTTTCGCTCTGTCGCTCTCTGTTGCACCTGGGCAACTTAGCGGCCATTTGGCAAATTGCAACTTTTCGATAAATTCGAATCATTTGTCATTGACACAAATAGCTTTCAAATTGCGCACACAAATGAACGCACACACATACAGAAACTCACACACACATACACAGCTAGGCACGAGACAGTCAGGCCTGGGGCGGGGCGTTTGGGGGGATGGGGGGTGCAGGCGAGGACTGTGATTGCTGTTGCTGGTTGTTGCAACTGCTGCAATTGACGACGTTCTCAGCGGAAATTCCCAAATACAGCCAAAACACAAACAGAGCTCAGAGACACAGCCAGAGATCAGCAGAGACCAGCAGCTCTCGCTGCTTCATATACACAACATTTAAAAAGCATATTAGCTATGTTAAA